TTTTTACCAGTAATCTTGAGGGGGCCGGGGCTGTAGAGAATAAGTTTAGAATCTGCCGGAAGAGGGATTATCAAGAAACACTATATTATTCTATCGAAATAACGTATTGTTAGAATTTGAATGTCCTAGCTAGCACTAAGCTAAACGCAAAGATGCGTAAATATTGAAAAGGTGATATATTATAAACACTGAAATTAAAATTAAGAAATTAAAATATCTTTGTAAAGTGCACGATTTTCTGCTCTTGGCAATTTAAAACAGCTTCTTAAATAGTTTCTTTAATTATGCATTAAATTTACTTATGTCAAGCGTTTATGCGCTTATGGGTCCAGCAGAGTGCTGATGCATTCAAATTCAAAAAATACGTTATTTCAATATTTGTGGGGTTTTTTGGACACCCTGTATATGTTTATTTCATTGATATTGTATATATTATTTTCAAAATTAATGTAACATTTAACTTGTATTTAAAATCTTGCAAATAAACGTAATTTCGATAACTTTAATTAATTAATATTGTTTATATTCGAATTCCAGCACTTGAAAATCAATTTCCGGTATCGGTGTTACTGATCTCACGGCAGCCAATGAAATTGAAAATCTCATTCCGTTACTCCAGAATCATGCTCAGCAACTAACCTGCGAACAGGCATACTCTGAGATTGTTTTGACGTTTTAAAATTGTGTTCCGGTTCCGGGATTAGACTAAGATATATATATATATATATATATATATAGCAGAAATGGAAATACCGAAATAAAACATGAAAACCTGAAGATACAAGCTTGAAATAACATTCTAAATAATGCTTTGGATTTTGAATCCAACAAGACTATGACGAACACGATACGTCGCAAGGGGCCGAAGTTATGTTTGGCGAAAGGCATGGTTAGTTTATAATTATATTTTAGTCATATTTGATAATTCGATCTCGCTTGACTTTCAAAGGCCATTAATCACTACAATGTTCATATTGACTAAAACTGTCACTGGCAATTAGGAGATACTGCTTCACTGAATCGATTGATGGTATTTTGTCCTTGTTGTGCGCATGGAACCGGAGCATATAAGCGGAGAGGAGATAAGCGGCAGCAATCATGCCAGCAAAGTCATCCGCCTATGAAGTCGGAAATACTAGAAATCGTCCGAGTTCCGACCAGGAAGATAAACCGCTGTCCGTAGTGTTGTATCCCACGCTTGTATTAAATCTCGCACTGTTAACAAAGTCTAGCTTGTGCTATTATTATAAATTGAAATATTATTATTTAATTTAAAGTATGTGATTGGCATTCGTTAGTAGATTTTGTAGATTGCAACATTTTAGGGACTTGCATTCGAGTATCTTACGATTTTGATCGTAATTTCAAAAAATGCTGGAGAAACCACAAGAAGTTTTTGGATTTGAATTCAGCGTAATTCAGCTATAAGAATACCTTCTATTAATATTTGTATTTAGCTTAGAGGTTTGGGCAATGGCCAACGAATGCACAAAGCCTCGCCTCGCTCGCTTCAGGCAAACTTGCTCGCTGCGGCATCAAGTAAATCACAATATACAAATGATTATTATAATTTATTTGACAAACCAGATGCACATACAATTCAAATTTGGTGTCTAGTGATTTTAAACAATTAGATGGGAATTCAGTTATTTTGGGAGATAGAAGTTGTGCATGGAAAGGCACGCTTTTCTTATTCACCGCCTTGATAAGTTCCTCCATACATGCCTTTAGTGCTCTCGTCTTCAGGTTTAAACCAAAATTCAAATTCTAAATCAATTAGAACATTTCGTGGAAGTTTCCCTTTTTTTTTCTTATCTGCCATAGCGAAATATTGTACAGCTCCTTCTGGATCCATGTCGACACATTTCATGAAAACCTTTATATCGTCAACCGTCACGACGTCCTTTATACCAATGGCATCATACATGGCATTAGTCATCTTCTCGTGAAATGTCGGCTCACTCAATCGCCTCTTTTCCAGCTCGCCGTGAACAAGACGACTCATGCCTTCGACAAATCCCTTCTTCGTCACTGGCTTGCCTGGAAGAATTCCTGCCGCTGAGATGAAGTCACGAATAGTTTCTCGTACCTTTTCAATCTCTTCAGCAGTGGCCTTCCCAAGATCCCTCATGTTGTCAGCCCATTTTTCAAACATCTGGAGTGATAAATAGCCAGTCTTTTCCCTCTCGGCCTTATCGAAGTACGTTTCCATCTGTGTTACCCATCTTTTATTCCTCGTAAGGTCTATATTAGCCTATTAACACAAAAGTAATCGAAGCAATGAGTAATTAGTATTAGGTATTAATTTAAACAAACAACACTTGACATATAGAGTGAGAATGTGTAAAGGAAAGGCACTTAAGCAGTTGTTAATTGTTATGTTCCTACCGTTTGTTCCATATCTTTTTACAAAACAGTGGCAGTGTATATGCAGTTAATCTGTGTTCGTTGTAGCCTGCGTGTTAGACTTTATGCTTCAAATAGAGCCCGCTGCAAATTCCCATTGGTCAGAAATAATTAGCCTTGCCTTTTAAGGTAGTATCAAGTCGTTCTCTACGTAATATGATATTCCGTACATTCTTAGAGTCAACGAATATACTGTACATTATTCTTGTGATTTCGTAACTAAGTTTAGAACATATAGAGAACGTGCCTTTGTCCTTAGTTCAGGCGCAAATGCTTATGGGGGG